TTTAATCTACCATTTTGTGAAAATGTTATTGCATTTGATGAGATTTATGGGTACCAGAATAAAAAGGACTAAACACAAACGTATGGCACACTGTGCAATATGAAAAGTTGTCAAACTTTAGATATTTTTGAATTAACTTCATAATTCTGTGTTACTTAAACTGTGCTATAAAATACACTGAAATTTCTTGTTAAAACATTAGAAATTGTGTTCAAGAAGGTGGGATAGTTTCTCAATATACTATATACTACCAGACACGTTTATTTCTGCAAAATGCTTAAAAACTTTAAAAAGCCAATCTTTAATTGCAGCAGCATGACAATAAAATAATCAAAAAATCAACCTTCACTTGCCTTCAAATGGAAAAAAATCAATCCATTAGGAGAATTTTTTATTTATTTATTGTGCACAGAAACACCTGCCATCAACAAAATCAATCTAACTGAAGCGGGGACTTTTGTTTAATTCATGTTTTACAGCTGATCAATCAATTCTTATTGGTCTTCCAAGGCTTTCAGGTTGTCTTGAGTATAAATATGATAGATATCATGGAAAAAAAAAGTCTTTTGGCCACTAACAGGATATGGACATATATTTTTCTTGCCACCCAGTGAGGAGAATTGTAAAAGTAAAATCTCCTTGACCTCTAAAATTTCACTCCACTTCATTTTTGTTTAGCTTTCTTGAAGAATTAAGTTCTTTTTCTTCTTCAAAGGTTGTTGTGTTGTTTCCTTTAGTTGTTCTCAGTGCAGCACCACCAGAAGTGAGGAGGATGAACAGGCTTTTCAATTAGTGTGTATCGTTTGACATAGTGCAGTGTGAAAGTGAACTGTACCAGCTGAACATGTAACAAATGTTGCTACTTAGGTCCCCGATCAAACCAAGTCTACCAGATTATAGAGGGGGAAAACATCTTAAAGCTCAATGTATATAAAGTAAAAATTATCTCAAAAGCAACGAAACAGAAAAGGGGAAAGGCTGATGTGTGAGGATTTGATTTGTGGCACCACTGAGCAGCCACAGAGGTTTCCCTCTTTCAGCTGTTATTCTTTCTTTCACTCCGCTCCCTCAGCTGATTTGCCAATGCTCCCTCCTCCCGTTTGCTCCAAAATCCCCACGATGAGCGTGAAAAGAAAAAAAATCCCTCTGAAAATCCACCGCTGTGTCACTTTACCACTGAACACTGAACAAGTGGATATGAGTCCAGTATTAACAGAGAAGGAGAGTGCTGCTCTTCTTTTACCCTTTCTTTTTCACAGCTGGAGCACTTGTTGTTTCACATAGTGTCTCCTTTTCTCCTTGCCAGAGTTGAACATGTCAACGTGGGACGGTAGTTATTAGCTGCCAGAGCTTGACGTTCATTTGGTCTTATCAGCACTTGTTTAATGGCTACTTAATGGGATTAATGGACATAAGGTAATGAGTGTGGGATGGGGGACTGGCTGCTGGGGGGAAATGAATGGTTGAGGGAGCAAGGACAGGGAAGGAAAGGCAACAATGCTAATGGCTTACAGACTTGGAGGGAGCTGCTTTGGAAAGCAGTTTGGTAAATATGGCAGATAGCAACTGTGCAGCTCTGGGTTTCACATGCAAACAGAATTTGTTGCCTTTATATTCATACCAGTGGATATTACATTACTTGCTTCTATTCTGCAGCTGCTTTGAAATGGACACAGGAATTTCCACACCTTTCTCCTTCCTTTATGTTGTGAATCACTACAAGGATACAAGCTGAAAGCCCAGAGGAAAGGTCCAAATGTGCTTTCAGTATTCCACAAAACAGATCTCTCTTCTCTGAGCCACTAAATTCGATCTGGGAAAACACTGAACCAAACAGGGAATTTTAATGTCGTCAGAGCTGTGGCACTCCCCGGAGTTATCACAAAGATATTGATCATGCTTCATCATCTCGCAGGAGGAGACAGACTGGCAGAGGAAGTGAGGTGAAGAATATAAAATAGATTGATGGTAAAAGGAAACCAAGAGTCTGGTCCCTCTCAAAACTTAAATATAAGAGGAAAGGACAACAATCAGAAAGGACATTTGCACAGATAGCAGCATCAAATTTTTTTAGTTCCATGTTTGGTATCAAGATTTGCTACAAATACTGCCTATCATTATTGTTTGTTTTTTGTGATCTAAAGATAGTTGAAACATGGGGCCTTTTTAGCTTGAGGCAGTTCAGAGCTAATCTGGGATGTGTAAGAGGACTTGACAGCCACATTACTTTGCCTTCCTCCCTCAACAGTCCACCCATCCACAGCTAATAAGTTTAAGAAAAGGGGAATACAGCTTTATTAAAGGCCATTCAGTTCTCCGGTGAATCCGATCACGCTTCTAATTCCTAGTTTGAGGGGAAAAGTGGCTGCAAGCTCCCTGCCTTGTTTTAAAAAGACTCGCAAAGAGATTTATATTGTTTATGTGATGACACAAACAGAAAGCTGTTTTTATGTTTTTTAGGTGATAGGAGACAGTAGAAATAATAATAATAAAAATATTATAGAAATGTACCAATAACAACAAACCCAGGTAAATTAAATTATTTCCTTTTGAGGTCAGTTTCTGCCTCGAGCTGAGAGGCTCAAGGAGCTTTGTGTTTTGTTTACAAGTAATAACATGGTGGAGCAGGAGTCGGATTGATGGACTTGGGCATCGTCTACTGTAATGTGCAGCACATCAACTACTTGTTGTGAGATTTGATCCCTGAGAACAAAGCCAGCGTTTTCCATAGGATGACTGGGCATCTAACCAGGATATCCTCTGGATATCTCATTTTCAGATTTTCCCCTTTGTGGACAATAAAGGCTGTTTCTATTAAATTCTATTTTATTAAAGTATCTGACCAATGTCGTGACCATCTATTTTAATCATTTGATGTCTGCTGAGGTCCATGAAGCATCAAAAGTTACACAAAAACTATGTTTTTTTTTTTTTTGTGTCTCATGGTGCGGGACCACAGTTTAAAATCAGTTTAAAATGGCGTGTGATATAAACATCTTATTTATTGTCAGATCCATTTTTAAGTCATTTTACTTGAACTTTTTAGTAAAACATTCTGAAAGGGATCAACTTTCTGTCAGGTTGTGAACCATGACCTAGAACTTTTTATGTAGGAGCTTATACTGGAAGTATCTATGCTAAATTTTATTTAAAGTGGTAAAAGCAGGAGCAGAGGATCATGTCTTCTTAGGGGGAAGCATCCAAGGCCTGTGGCTGTCAAACAACTATGGTTAGCAGCTCTCTACAGTCTGGAAGCACTACCTATGATGAAAAGAAATGCAATCTACCAAGGGTAGCTCCTTTCTTATCTTATCTGTCAACGTTTTTAGTTACATCTACATCATCTCTGTACAGCCAACAGATAGATTGTAAATTGCCTCAAGTGATGAGCATTTTACAGCATGAAAAAGACCAAAAGACAAAGTAGCTCTGATATTTAACACTTAGGAGAGCAAGGCTTGGGATGTTCGACAGGCTGCCTGATCATAAGGTAAGCCTGGGTTTAGTCTGGACACAGAGAGATTTAGAAATGGCTTCGGTTAGATTATAGAGTTTAAGTCAACTGCCTACAAACAGTTTATGTTGGCAGTGAATGCTTTTAATATATCCTAAAAGCCATTTCCTATTTTGGGGGTTTGACAGTGACTGATTGCAGTATTACTCCCAGACTTCTGCTCAGTGCTGTTGTCATCACTCACTATAGCAGTTGTCAAGTGGAGTGAGCCAGATTTGGTCTGGTTCAATCAATTCAACTTGGAGGTAAAATAGAATATCAATCAACAAATCTAAGGTCCAAGAGTTAAAATAGCTTTGATTGTTTGCTAAGTACATCTTGTGACAACTTCCAAATGTTGACAGATTTCTTCTGCTTGACAAACATTTGGTAGATGAGTATTCATTATGTGTTACTCCAAGTTTATAGACGACATGCAGGTTTGATTGTGTTCTGAGTTTTGATAGAACAACTGCTGATCAAAGCAGCAACACAACTTTTTGTCTTTGCGCCTTACACTTTCTGGAACTTTTCAGACAAATCCGATAAATCCAATAAGCCACCAATCTTCCATGACACATCGGGCAGAGTCCGCAGTCGAGCACTAACTTTCCTGGAGTGAACAGAGGGAAAATGCCTTGTCGCTGCAGAGCAATGAATCGTTCGGCCTCTACTTCCAGTTACTTGACATTAGCAGGCTGGCATTTCTCCATTATAAATCAGCCTCACTGCAGCCCAAAAGTTCTGAAACTGAGATGATGTGGCCCATTTGTGAAAGGTTACAGATTTACATCATGGGCTCCATTTCAGCCAAATGACTTCAATTTAATGAATCCCATTAAGAGCGAAAATAAGGTTTTACTCCACATTTGGATATCATTTATGAATTCTATGGTTTTATTTTATCTGGATTGAAAGTATTGGAAAGGACGAAGAATTGATTTGAGAATTTTAGTTAAAGTTGTGGTTGAAAATGTAACTTACCATTACAATGTTGCTATAAATACAGAAATAAAAGTTTTCTTTAAGGCAACAAAAAGCCAAAAATGAAGCCAGTTTGACATGTAGTCTTTGCATCCCTACCCTTCCTCCTCGCCCTCCTTTCTCTCTCTGGCCTCCTGCATCTCCTTTAGTGCATTTTGCTAGTCTTATTTAAGCTCCTCTTGACAGAGCCGCATTGCAACCCTCCTCCTCCTCATCTCAGTGCATTGCCTCTCCTCTCCTGCCCGCTGCAGTATGGCAGTAGATTGTTTCCTTACAGACTCGTTGCATCCCTCCTCCCTGCTATCGCCTTCCCCACTGTCCCTCTCAAGTCTCCCCCTCTGCCACACACTCACCTTCGCTGAGTGTTGGCAGCAGAGCGACACCTTAGATAGTCGAGCCTTGCTGTCTTGTTCGCTCCGTGATAGAAGAAGCTGTTGTTTTCCTTAATGAGGACAAACAACGTATAGTTGGTAAGGTGGTGTTAGTATTTGCTGTGTTTAATTCTGATCTGTTTTTTTATTAGACCCCAAAGGCTCGAAAAATGAAGCTACTCACAAGAAAGGTACTTTCCTTTTCTTTTTCAGTTTTTTTAATTTCTTTATTTTATTTGTTTATTGTTTTGTTTTTTGCTCCTCTTCTTTTCTTCCCTGGCCATCGTTTTTATGTTTAGCAGTCACTCACGCAGTATTGGGGCAGTTTCCAGATGTTGAGAAGAACAACGGACATTGGGAAACGCCTTCCTGATGTAGATGTAGAGATTGCCTTGTGTGGTTGCACTTTATATGAATTAAAGTGGTTAAGAATCTTTGTCACTGGAAATGTCAGCGGTTTTTACAGCTTCTGTCTACTTAATTCGTTGTGCTGATGCATACACTTTTCTCCACTAATGCCTGACAGTTTTTTCCTATGGTTTGAGTCAGTTATTTCCTAAAAAGAAAACCTGACAATTCCTGGACATTTAATCTTTTTTTTTTTTTTCTCAGTCAATACAGGCGATTTTTTTATGACTGTTTAACTGCAATGGAAAAAAATATGAAGTTGTAATGACAATATTGTTTTTTCTGATTATAAATGTTTTTTGGCATTGAAAGTGAAGCATTCCCTTAATGTCTCTGTCCATCTTCCCATCGCAGACATTGTTATTTTGATGGGAATCTCCAGATGCCAGTTATTGTTAGTTTTTAAAAATGCTGAGTCAATAAAGTGAAATGAAGATGCAATAAAAATTGTCTGCTCTTTAGCAGATTCTAAAGTAATTTAGATTGAACTTCCAAGTACACAAAACAAAATGACTCCACATTGCTGTTGTCTAAAAACAAAGATTAAGCCCAAATAGAGAAGCTGTGTGTGAAAAACAAGTTCACCATATGAAGGTGAAATGATATCAACATTTACATGGAAAAAGAAACTGTTTCTATTTCCAAACCTACAGACAAAACATTGTTGATAATGGAAAACAATTTAAGTCATTGATTCCTCCACCCTGTGGTGAACGTCCCAGATCTGAGATTACAATGCTAAAAAAAGTGACGACACAGTAAGAGCTGAATCTCACACAGCAGTCAAAGGCAACCCAAATCCAATTTTTTGCCCATTTGTAACCCATATCCAACTTTTCACGGCAGCCTGAACAGCCCAATTATGAACTTTTCACCCTCCGAAAAATCAGATTTGTACCACTTTCAAACATGGGGCTGAATCTGTTACATATCTAATAGTTTCTCCAGCCTCTGCAGTGTGAACAGTCATGATGCATTTCTTCCGACTTTTACATCACCGGCATCGTAATTCTGATGTCGGTGACAGAAAGTGTTTTTTCTCGCTCCGATTCTCTGTTTTATTACATCTATGTTGTGCTTCAGTGTGTCAGAACATCAAATAAACTTAAATAAGGATCAAAGACAGTACAAGTAAATACAAAATGCATTTGTTATGCAAACGTTTGATTATAAAGGGAGAAAAAAATCCAAACCTTCATGGCCCAGCGTGGAAAAGTTATTGCCCCCATCCTGATAAATGTAGCTGTGGTTTTTCACACCTGAATTATATGTTTTTAGCTACACACAGGCCACTTCTTTCAACATTAATTCATTAGAACCTGATCTTTCAGTGAATTTCCCTGAAAGATCTTCAAAAGCTAAACATCAACTTGTTGGTTTAGTAATCACGTTTTCACACAGAGCCATATAGGTTTGGATTTTTTTCTCCTTAAATAACAAAATCTTTCATTGAAAACTGCTTTTTGCTTTTACTTTTGTTGTCTTTGACTAATATTCTGGAAAACTGAAGTGTGACAAAATGCAAAAAATTAGGACTTCAAAATTACAACACTGTAAACAATGCAGCAAGCAGCACTGAAATGTAATTTTTTGGGTTTTTTTTTGCTTTGTGGTTGCATTTAATTAGCAAAAACAAACCAGAAAACGATTGGAAATTGAGCCTGCTGTGTGCACTGCATCCTTACACGCTGGAGTCCAATACACCATGTTAAATGTGGACGACAGGTCAAATAAGGGTTGACTGAAAAGATTAAGAAAATAATCCCTCCACTCTAAGAAGAGAATTTAAACAATTAAATCCAAAGTGGAGATATTTGGCCATAATGCATAATACATAATGCATAATTGGATTAAACATGTAACCACAAATACCTCAGTTAAGCTGTCAAGCACAGTAGTGGATGGCTGATGATTTGGCTCTATTTCACAGTCAGTAGGATCAGTGCACCTTGGAGTCAATGTAACATTGGTGCCACAAAAGAAAACATTGGATATAAGAATATTTTGAAAATTTCACTGTCATGTGACACTGCTAAAATGAGAAAAAAAAATACTTCAAATTGCTTCTAAAAGGATCGTTATGTGTACTTAGTAATTTCCACACAGCTGATGTAATTTTTGCCTAATAAATGGAAATAAACAAAATCTATTTTTTTTTCACACTTGTTAGATTTAATCAACAAGAATCTGGTAAAGACCAGAGTAATATAAATTGTTCTATTGAGCCTAAAATCATATAAAATCTCCCTAGAATAATCTTTGTGTTATCCACTCATTCAAACAAATCTAAAACAGCTAAATATAGATAAATTCCAGGCTGCATTAATGTGGTTTACGTTTAAATTTCTAAGCTCTGCAGGTCTAATATGTTTTTCAAAGCTGCGACATCCTGTGACACCAATCTGGACCCTGGTCATTGATCCTGACTCAGCACAACCTCTGTTAAGCTAAAATGCTTTGTCCAAAGCAGCATTTGGATCAATGTGGCCTTCTGCAGGGTGAAACAAAACAAGCCAGAGAAAAAGAGAAAGTTTCAGAGAGAACATCTTCTGGGCAACCTTCCAGACTCTGTAAGCGTCTCCAGGACGGATCAAACATAATGACTTTGGTATCCATTTTCAGAAACAGTAACTCATTTTATGTTAAAACATGGCACATAAAAGGATAATACTCTACAGGGTAATAAATTAGACGTTGTAAATTAATTCACTTTCAGTGAAAAGGAAACATGGTCACATCATTGTGTAGTCATTGGACCTCATTTAGTCCTGAATGTCTTAGGCTAAATTTAGACCACCTTAAGCCATGAGTTTCATTTTTGTTACTTTGCTAATTTGCTGCAAAGATTTTATACATGCAATATTTCAGATGGAAAGCTCAATAGGTCACTGCAAATTACTTGCAGAATCCTCTGATTTAGTTTGTCTCATTGCTTTAAAGTGGTGCAGGCGATTCAAAGAAAGGATAAACATGCTCTATCATGTTCAGTTTGGTGAACAGTCAAGGTTATAACAATAAAAAGAACATAATAAAATCCTGAACCACTGGACTAGTCTTTGACCTTTGTATAAGGGCAATTAAAGCTGGATATGGAGCAAATTGTAAAGGTGATACATTGCAATGCCTGTTTTATGGCAATGCTCTCTAAAAGACCGTCTGCACAATCTAACACACTAAATGTGTATTGAAAACCATACACATGTGGTCCACTTGATTGGACCAGAGTTTGCTTCCTCCCTTGGTCTGGAGTTTTTGTGCAGGTTTGAATAGACTCAGAATCCTTGAGTGTATTGAGTCTTAGATCAAACAAACTAAGACCAACTATATGAGGTGATTTCAGACGGCTTCCGAATTCTAGTGTGTTTATCGTCATATGAATAGACGACCCTTGACCTGAACCAACTACAGGACATATATGTCTTTTGAACTTCATAATCAACCCTCTTCTTTCTTTTTTCGATGCAGGTTGTTGGTCAGCTCTGCTTGCAGATAAATTTGCCAACTTCATCCCAAAATTATAAATATTCTGAAAAACCAGCACTGCATGAACTGCTCTTGACAAAATGGTATTGCAGTTACAACAGAGGACCAATGACTTTCCCTTTGTGAATGTACCCTAAAAACATTAAAAAACACATGAACAGGCAGTGTGAAGGAAAATATCATTTGGGCCATAGCATTAAATCAAAGATCAACTTTATTACGATCTGCTGCAGATATTATCCTTTTGTGTTTAATTACACTGAGTGAATAATGTCTTCCAGGGAGAGTATTGGTTTGCAGACTAAAGACCCCAATTACCTCCTGAGCTTATTCTGTCGGCCACTGCTGTCAGCTTCACAGGAGAACACGCTTTATATTAGCAGGCAGCAGCCTGTCTGCCTCCAGGCAGTCAATATGCATAACTTACCCACTGGCTTGGCAAAGGAAGAAAAAATAACGGAAGCTACAGAACTAATAAGTTAATTTCTCATTTTAATGTTCAAACAGCAGAAGCACAATTATATCTTAAGAAGTCTGGAGATGTGAGAGGATGGGTGTGGATATCAGTCACAGAATAAACGCTGATGAAAGTAGTTCACAGAGCTGCAATGGGTGACATTGTTTCACCGGGTTAAGGAAGGATGTGTTTCTGGGTTTCTGTTTTATCTTAAAGGGGCAGCATTATGTGTTCTTCAGGCTATTACAGTCATTTTAAAGCATAATTACGCAACCATGCTTTATAACCAGTGGTTATAAAAATACCATACATGCCAAATATGACTTTAAAGAAATTTTACTGCCTAATTTAATTACTTAAAATTGAGTCTCTGTCACTTTAAAAACTCCTGCTCTCTCTGAAACTTTCAGGAAGTCATAAAATTGTTCCTCTGTAAATCCTTTAGCAATGCTTTTACCAGCGTTGCAATTCTTAGTGCTAATTGGCTTAGCAGATGTTCAGTTCCACCAGCTCCCATCAGCTAAATCCTGCTGGCTAGTCTGAAGGAGTTCAGTGGTGGAGTCACGGAGGAGTGCTGCTCTGTGAGGCAGAAGCTTGGAAACGTCCGAGGAGAAGCTGTGTCTTAAAGGTGGAGCTTAAAGGTGGAGCTTGGTCCACCAAGGTGTTTTGCACAGCTGAATGGTTTCCATGGAGATTCAAAAAAATCCTCAAAAATGCATGTAAGAACAAAGGCAACACTCCAAATATGTTATAACATTATAACATGATATAAAACTCAAAAAAGTTGATTTTACATAATACTGCCCCTTTAAACCAATATTATGTACTGTTATATACTTTCTG